GAAATCTGTTTCGTTATTTGGTCCTACAAATATTGAGCTGCGGCTGGAAATGTTGGTGTAACTCGTCGGAAATCACGGAGGAATACGTCGTGTTTATCGTAAATCTTGACAACCGGAAGTTCCGTTTTTGATGTACGTATGCATAGTAAAGTCACGTTTTACTTGCTTTTTGATAACATAATGCATCCGTTCTATGAGTATTTGTCGCGCCAAAAATACTCTGACCAATTCCATTAGTACAGAGTCATCTTGAACAGACATTATGCCGAATTAATTATGTCCATCTTGTGGAACAGTAGGGTCCCTTAAATATTGGGGTACTTGCCGATCTAAAAACAAAAAACCGAAAAATTTCCGCGTTGCTCGATTATTATTATCAAAAGGTTGACTACTGTTTACTGATCTCCCCTCCTCTCTTTTCTATGCTTTTCAAACCTTTTTCATAACAATCTTTATTTTTGCAGGCAGCAAACTTACATCACAAAGCGAAGACCATCGTCGGTCCCCAACATCACTACGGACAATATGTAAACCTCATATCTATATCCGGCTAGCGTTAGGGCTTCAGACTTTCTTAATTTCACGATTCTATTCTAAATAACACAAAAAAACGTGCACATTAATAATGACGACATACGTACGTATCACCCAATCTCTCCGAAACCATCGTATGGAAATGGACACATCGATCAAAACGGGACCTACTTTTCTCCCATAAACCTCAGAAGTTGCCGAAATGTAGTATTAGACTCTTCCCGTTTTACTTCTAGTCTATGATGGGATGATAGCGTCACGGTGTAAAAAAGGATGTGGAGTTGGTTGCTTGCTCTGGCTATGGAAGACTGGGTTTTTCACGTAAGTTTTATAAAGAAGTTATATATTAGCAATTCTTGCTATCGAACCAAGCTAACATTGATTTCCTATGTTTTGATCCAGTTCGTGAAATTATTCTTCTCCAGAGCAAGATTTGATTTTGGCAGAGCCGCGAGTAGTATGATGGGAGACAGTCAATCGAACATTTGTCTCAAGGACAACGGTATGAGTTGCTCAAATGAAAGTCATTGGCAGGGAAGGATATCTAAGGACTCGATAATGCAGGCTTTTGTCCAACGATGTCGGTCGAAACTTTTTTTAATGAATTCGTATAAGTACAAGTGTAGCCAATGAGATTAGCCTTCTTAATGTTGGTCTGAAATACGTCTTCATCGTCAGTAAACATGCAGTTAGTCTATATATATTATTATTAAGAGAAAATGGGTCGATTAAGTTAGTAAAAGCAGATGATGTTTCAAACGAATTTGCTTTCTGAAAGTTGACAAAGTAATAGCAATGTAAGTAAAGCACAAAATTTTTTAATTTAATATAGTTAGTGTATATTAATATGTTTCCATAATGCTTGATTGATTCCCATAGGTCTCATGTTGCATGTACCGAGCCAATTATCTATACAAAGAGTTTCCCCGTCAACCCAGGGAAAAGTCCTCACACGCTACAAACCGAAAATCATAACTTCCTCCCCAAGTAGCATCACAGAAGTGGACGATATATAGATAATGGACCTTATGGAAATGATATATCGCACAAGATGTAGCCATAGGCGAAGAAGTGAATGATAAATATGCAGAGGAAGAGCAGGAAATACCACGGCCGTCTTCCCCATTAATATTATGTACCGTTACTTCCCCCTTCCTCCAAGGTTGTCAAACGGACGCGATTATTCTCCCCCGATTTTTTCAATCACATCAACAAACAGACACTAGTAAACGAACATACTTGAAAGGTCTGCGAGGGCGTACTCGTTCGCAAACACGAGAAGTGCCAGGTGCAGTTAGTACTAGCCGTCACGTTACCGTAGCAGAGATGACATAATGGGACATACAAATCCAGCAAGGGCAAACACAACGAACTACTCAACCGATTCATTACAAGGCATGGCTAACATGGACATTTCAAGGGATACTACGGGTAGGCTCGTCAGCATGATACAATCGCGAAGCTATGTATGTAGTTCCGAAGAAGCGCGGCCTGGAAGACCAAGAAAGAAACCAATACTTGAACCGGTCATTGTTGACCGGGTACTACCGCCTCAAGAAACCAATGATGCAGAGGTCTCAGCTGCGATCGGATTCTCAGTATTGCCAATGTAATA